CCTCTGAACCTTTAGCCGCAATCGTTAGTAAACCCTACTGAAAAGATAGAGTGAAAGCAGGGTGGCTGTTGGCGATGAAAACGGTGAGGCCAGAGAATAACCCGCAAGGAGGCGACGTAATTCCGTGAATAGAGCCGAATGATCTTAGGCCACATGGGTGCGAAATCCCAACTGACCGGCCCGCGTTCGTCGACGGCCACCCAGCGCTATCGTCGTCGTCGCCGCCGCCGCCCCTGACTAGCCGCTTTGAGCGCCCTGGCCTACTACGACGGCGCGCATCTCAGTTCGGGCCATTTCAAACCTTTCTCTCGGCGCTCGGCCATTATGTGCCACTCGACAACCGAAGCCATTTCGTTGGCCACTGACTCGGCGCTTTCACCTTCGCCCGAATCTCAACACACTCACCACATCCGCAAACTCATTCAATATTCAATTCAACCAAGGCGCCACTCTCCTCCAACCTGGAACTTCCACATACTCTTCAAAATCTTCCCCGTAGCTAATCATTGTGAGGTTTCTTCGAATAGTTCGGAAAAACTGAGCAACACCTGATTGTGCCCGGCTGGCTGTTTTGTGGATGTGCAAGTGTCAATCCTGTGGCGTGGGTGGTGATTGCTGCATGGATGGTTTCAGATCCGCTTGTTACTGCTGTTATAGCGCTTATGTTGGCCGGATCGCCTCCATATGCCATCCATCCTCTCATTAACGGTTAGCCCTCAACATGGGAAACCCGAGCAATGATAAGGCCTCTCCACACCAACAGACACATGCACTACTACCTATTCATCTCCTTAATAATCTTCATGCTCATCATCATGCTCAGCTCTAATCCTTCTCTCGTACGATGTCTGTCCTTGAAGGCGTTAACCAGCTATCTGTCGCAGTAAGATGTTGTGCACGCTTTTGCATCGAATGAATCTTGTTATCGCCTCGTTACTACTCCTACTACTACTACTACTACTACTGTCGCGTCGTCGTTGTTGTTGTCACTGATGTCGTTGTTGGTTAAGGCGTGTACGAAGTGCATTAGAGTTCGGTGAAAAACACGTTCGGGCCGACTAGCTGCAACTAACTGGCGCATTTGGCCGTCAGTGTCGGTCGGTCGGTCGATCGGTTAGTCGGTCGTCGATCGGTCGCATCGTCGACGACGTCGTGAACACCTCACGCCGTACGTCGTCGTCGGAGTCGCCATCATCGTCGTCACCATCGTCGTCACCACGACGGCCAACAATAGCCGCCGACTATTGCCTGAGTATGGCACAAATCGGAGAACGATTAAGGTAAGCAATAAGCAACACTATCAAACACTTTAAAGTATGAAAAAAAGATTCACAATTGACGGTAGGGTGTTGCGCGCGTACAGCTGAACTCGCTGCACTTAACTTGACCACCTACGATGATTATCCGCAACCGGCTGGCAGCTAGGCCTCCCACTCGCCGCGCGCGGTGCGGTTCACCGCGTTCGCGACGGCCACTTACCGGCCGTCTCGAATAAGGCTAAAATGTCACTACCGTAGGATCAACAAAGCAACTGCTTAAGCGCAAATGTACTACTGCATCAGCACGGGAATTCTTCCAGCTGACTGAGTAATTGCCTGACATGTAGCGAGAAGCAACTATAACACATACGCTCTACTACGAAGTAAATCTGACCGACTCCATTGAGGACGATCGATAGGCTGGTGGCGCTTCTCTGCACGCTCTGGCCCGGCGACATATCGACTGCTCGTCTCTCACGCTGTCGTTGTCGTCGTCGATCTCACGCTCGCTAGCCCTCCCTCCCGTTCTCGGACCCCACGCATCCGGATAGAAATTCTACCAGTTCATCTGTGTAACTCCTTTGGGAGCAAATTCGCCCACAATCGTTGACGTTGTTTCATGTGTGAGTTTATTTCTGCTTACTGTCATTTACTGTCAGGCCCTGTTCCAAGTTGTCTAGATGAGCACAAGCGCGGAACTTCTCTCATTTAGCGCCGTTGTCAAACTGGGTATTCGTGACGTTTTATAGCCGTCAGACGCTTTGTTATTTGATTAGTACGAGTACGAATCACAGACTGTTTAACGTTACCCGCTCGTACCCCGTGTTTTGACGCGAGTTTCTCTCCAACTGATGATCTTTACCTGCACTGCTTAATTCACTGCGATTCTCAAAGAGCCATGTGTTGGTTGTAAGTTCGTTTTTCTCCGTTTGATTTATGTCAATTGGGGCAGACGGACAGTTGTTGTGAAGCAAGTGCGGAAAGAACTCTTGTCAGTGGGAGTATCGGCCAGAAATGAACAATCTAAAAGAATAAGATGCGAAGGTAGGGAGCTCTAAATGTCTATAAGGGTATCGAATTGACAGAACAGGGTTACATTCAGGAAATTGTTAATGTGGAGGGGCCCTTTGGTGCAATAGTTCGTCTGATTACGGTAGTCGAAGGTCTGCAGAAGTGGCATTTCAAAGCTGCCCCGATTCTACGGAATTTCTTCACTTTTTCTTTCATGTTGGGTAAAATTCGTTGCTTGAAGGTATGAGGAAAGCCAGGATGAGGGGCTTTTCTGCCTGAGCCTAGCGTGGGAAGAAGCATGAGGAGCCCTTTCTCCCCATTAGCTTACGCAAAAAGCTTTTCCTGACCGTTATAAGAGTACACTAGTATGGAAAGATATTCCGGTAAATAAACTAACGCCAAACTTTAATACATCGAGCTAGTAGCTACATGTAATTATTGGTATTCTTTTCTTGGGTTGTACTCGTGACTATTTCGGTAGTAAATCGGCCCATGCAGGGCTTCGTCCCTGGACCCACCACGGGCTTTCACCTCAGTATATCTGCCAACCGTAAAGATTCTCTTCTTCTCTTCCCCTTCTTTTCCTGCTTTCCTTCTCTCTTTCCTTTTCCTTGTTTTCCTCCCTTGAAAATGCTCGGCTAGAAGATACGGTGGGACAATAGCTCTGGAACGCATCCTCTCGATTCGAGAAAGATTCTTTTACTTTTTACTTCTTGACAATGCCTGAGGTAAATTTTGGGGAATCCATACACCTCTGAGTTGTAAACATAACTACGACCAATATGTTTTTTGCAGTAACTTTACCAGTGAGTGGTTACTTTACCGCGAACGAGAGATTTTGCCTGCTTGTCAGTAATCCGCTTGCGAGGGATAATTAACGCAAGCTTGTGGCATTATCAGTGATTATTTGTTTTTATCGAGGATGTAAGTGTATATCTCGTAATATCTCATGTGTGGGCGTGTATATGTGTATATGCACGTGTATGTGTGTATATGTGCGTGGTGTTAAATGATACCGCTCAACAACCGGTCATCCCCCATCGAAGCGTATCAAGATAGACGCAACACGCATTCACACCCCCTCTAATTTCACTGTGTTGGTTTTACTTCTGTTAATTCACTGGGACTGGTCAATGTGTCATGTCTGCAGCAACTTCTCGACAATTGTAAGTCATTCTAATGTGTTACTTGGTATTAACCCTAGAATCATTCGTACGAGTCCATTTCCATGCTCAATTATTCACGGCCTCCCTGGGGCGTGGTGGATTCACATCCATCCCATTGCGCTTCAGTGAATCTTATTGGGTAATGCCATATTGGTAATGAATAATGACCAGCGTTGAGGAGTTCTGTAAATGACCTTTTTCAAAATTGCCTCTTTTCAAGGGTAGACTTGGAACTACGAGTACTTTTTCCTAGGAAATCCTTGACTCATATTGTGTGAGCGAGGGTAACAGGACTTCTGTCAATGGGATGTTCTCTCTCTTCGATGGTCTAGAAGTGTTTTCTCATCTCATCATTCTGGTGGAACTTTTGAAGAGAGGAAAATAAGGAAGGCAGCTGAGACAAAGAAGGAAGAGGAAGGAAGGAGGAGGAAGGCTTCGTAGTTGGCAGATATCCTGGGGCCGTAGAAACCCGGTATAATTTCAGCGCTATCCTAGTAAGGTGGGGCATGAGGCACCTGAACTTGCCTAGGAACTTTCGTCAGGAAGAGAAGAGCTACTCAGCCCACGGCTTCACGAGCTAGGAACTTCGAGGTCTAGGCAAATCATCGTTATGGAAATCACAGTGGGGGGAAGGGGTCTTTTGGCCGTTGAATGAGGGGGGGGGGCCGTAATTTACTTCAAGAGAACTTTTGCAATTGTTGAATTTCCTTTTTTTCGAGTGCGCTCTATACTCCACTCGACGGCAAAATTGTGGAAGATTTGATTATATATTTTGTGGAAGGGAAAAGACCTTATGCGGAGAGTCGTGTCGAGGGAGCAGAGTCATATTTTGATTTTGCAAGGAAATTTTCACAACAAGATGATGTGCCCCCTCTGAGGTACTTGAGTCAGTTTCTTCGCAAATAAAAGTCCTGATTGTAAGTGCAGTGCGTCAAAGTGCCCCACCTCATAGAAATAGCGCCCCATTTGCGATTTTCGCATCGAATAGCATTTTTTCAAAATTTTACATCTGAAATTATGAGACTTTGACCTGTGAAAAGCAGAGCTGAATTTAATGCTTGCTGGCTACTTCGGTCAGGGAAGAGCGCAGACGACCAGAGTTGCTTTCACGTGCAACAACTTGTTGATGATGATAAAGTTTAAGTTTTCCTTTCAGTGGCGACGTCGGGTTGCGTACTGTTGTTACCACACTGCAAATCCATCCTGTTGTCACCTCAGTCAACTTGTATAGCATGTAGTTAGGCCTGACAGATGATTTTAAGGATTGGGGGTGTTATTGTGATCGGATATGAGTCATTTCGAAAGACGACGACGTCATGTTTCGTGTGGCGATTCCTTCCGTGTGCGTCCCATTCAATTAAACGAAACGGGGCTAACTTTGATTTCTCTTTACCATAGCCGTAAACCAGTCGTAAAACAAGTTTGGGGAGATGTTTAGTCATCATAAAGCGCAAAAACTCATTAGTTCCGGTTTTACCGCTGTTTACATTGAACGGGGAGAAAATGGAGTTTTCATTATTTCTTTTACATTATCCAATTTATTTCAATCATCATATTACGTCGCATGTTTAGGATGCAACTTAATTACTTAAAAGGAGCTCGGCTTTCCGAAACAAGCACCGTTAAGATGCTGTCAGTGTTAAAGGTATGATCTCCCTTCAGATATCTTTGTCATGTGTTTGTTTGTTTTTATTAGCCCTTTATTTTTTTTATTCTCACTTTATCAGTTTGTGTAAGGGCCTGTGGTTCGTGTTTTCATGTTCACACGGCTTGTGGTTCTATCCCATTCAAAATGGAGAAAGAGAGTTAATAGGGAAGAAATTTCAAAACTAGGTGATTCCGGTCATGGTGGTAACGTAACAGAAGTTGTTTTAGATGCAAATTTTCGCTTCATTCAAAGGCAGTTTTTGTGTGGTCGCATTTAACTTACCCTGTTTGGGAGTGCCGGTTGAGTGGGGTCAGGAAACGACGCTATTGGCGCCTCCTCTTGTTCCCATTTTCTCCACCGCGAATGGCGATACTACTTGGCTCCGCCCTGCCACCAATTCTGAACATTATCTCTGAGTGGATTTATTGAGCCAACCTGCTCTGCAGTATTTTTGTGTTTATGCCAAAGAAAACAGAACCCTCTCTTGAAGTCACTTCCGCATCAAATCCTACTGGGTCTTACTACCCGGGTTTTTTAAGAGGTACGGTACTAGACGAGAGAAATCGAAGTTGGATCAGAGATTGTTCAATATGACTACAAGTTTTTTTGAACCAGTCTTACTGTACATGAACAACGTTGCGACATTGGAGATAGGAACTGGTATTGAACGGATTCTGTGATGAAAGACGTATATAATTCAATATGGCCTGTCAGGCACCGAAGAAAAGGTGTATGGACAACTTATAAGCGGGTCATTAGGTCAGTTTTGCTGAAACTTCTGCTGGAAGAAGGCCAAGAGAGTTCAGCTAACATTGGGTACTTTCACCTTGGTTTTCAAGTTTGACCAGTGGCCTTCAACTCATTAGTCGGAAGTAGTAGTTGCATAATCAATCATCTTGAATGTGCGTTGTACTTCGTTGTACTAGGAATCGCGAAGTGAGTAGGTACACTCGACTCCGTGCCTATTGTACGCCTGGTCGAGCGTACAATAGCGCGGCAGCTCTTCCTCCAACCAAGGCTCAGGCTTGGCAGAGCGCAGGCCGCCAGAGCCGAGGTAGACGTGTCGCCGCTTGGCCCTCCCCAAACTCGTTGGCGCTCATATATTCGATTAGTTGGTTAACTGGGTATTTTATCCTATTAGTTTCAGGCATTAGCGCAATGTCATGTTATTTTGGGTCTAATTATGCTTATTCTTTCAACATTAGCTGACTATGTTAGCAGTCGAATAAATACGATTCGCATGTATGGATTAGAAGAGTGCTGTTCGTTCTATTTTATCGTTACTGGGTAAGTAAACCTTTCATGCTTGGTACAGCCATGACCCCAGCGAGCGATAGGGCGTGTGAAGGGAAAGTAGGTTCAGGCGCTGTCGAGGCATTTCCACCTATAAAGCCGTCGTTGGCGAACTGACGAGAAGACTATTCTGGCTGCGCTCCAACTCATGTCCCTTTCGACGCCTCATCATTTGCAATGAATATGCCTCAAAGTTTCATTTGAAAATGCAAACTGTTGGCTATGTTTCGTTTGCGCATCTTTTTACATTTGACATTCATTTCAAGTGAATCTGAGTGCAATCGTTGCAGACTAGTGGGTTTATGTGGTGCAGCTTCGTACAGAAGAGGGCTAGTAATCACATTTCTTGTCATGTCAATTCATGCTATCATAATTTTTGTTCCGGCTATAATAATCGTGTCCAGCTTCGACATTCATTTCTATCAGGTATGAGCTTTTGATGTTTTGCTTGTGATTTTGTTGTTTGCTCCTTTAACCATAGAGCAGTCTATGGATGGAGCTAGTTTTCACCCATCTCATATATATTTTAGCATGAATGCTGGGGCGAATGTGATTGGCATTTGTTGGCGACATCCCTACCTCGAAACAGTCGCTGCCAAATTATGTGTGGTGATCATGTCGACGACAATATGAGAGTGTACGTCAATCACTTTTATCATTACAAGTCATATTTATCTGTAATCCGCTCGAATTTCTTCTCTTCTTTACAAGATTATAAGTTCTGGAAAGAAAGATGTATACAGTACTCCTGAAAACTGCGCTTAAATGTGTCGTCTCCGTGATTGCACACAGTTGTGTATACGCTGAGCCGGCGCGCAGGGAGGGGGGTGGGGGGGGAGCTCCGGAGTGAGGCCAAGAAGCAAGAACGCTAATTCTGCCTTCCTTTGGGCCAGGGGCTGGCGGGGACTGAGTGGTGCTGCAGGCACTTGCTGCTCCTACGCACTCAGTTTTCGCGGGGCTTTCACGCGAGATTTGTGGTACTGTATGCAGCCTGTTTTCCAAAACTTAGTCTATTCATTCATTTATTGGAGTTTGTACAGTTCCAGTAGATAGCGTCTTCTATCCGCTACTTTACAATGCAACGTCAACGATGGAAAATGAGGCGCTTGTGTAGTTCAAAGAGAGGGTGAGGGCACTTGGCGGCGCGTCTATACCCCTTCCCCTTCCAGTACTCAGTCTAAGCAGAGCGCAGACGACCAATCAAGATAAGCAACCTAGACGCAGGGCATTCCGCTCCGCATACTCTCGCTGAACTATGCTGTTGCCGAAAATGGTTAGCAGCTCTTGAAATGGCGACTTGACAATTAGAATTTTTAGTGTGAGTCCTGTTGCGAAAGGCCAGTGTGCAGAGAAATAGAGTACTGCGGCTGCCAAGGCATCGGAAGTTGCAAAGAGCATGTCGCGAGCCAGGGGATGAGCTTTTTCAGCGGGACGGGACCCCGGAGTGCTTAAGCTACTTATCATGCGTGAAAAGTTGGAACATCTATGGCAGCATTCGGACTTCGCGACTGCAGCGCTTCGGTCGCGCGTTCGACGCGAAGTCTGAACGCTGCCTAAGGCCACTGTGATTAGAGAATGGTTGCAAATGGGAGAGCGCAGAGAAAGCAGGAAGTAGATGCAATCAAAGGAAATGAGTACGAGTCGTTCGTTGACCCTTGAAACGGCTCATGGTTTCGTAGCGGATCTATGGCGTCATGTTCCCTGTTCCAGTAATGAAAGGGACGAGGCATTAAATGTTAGAACGTGCGAAAGAACGATTGTAAACCAAGGCGGTTGAGCATTATGGTCTAAGCCGAGGAAGAAAGGATCTGCGTGGTGGGTCAGTCAGTTATTTTATGCTGAAAGTCGCAGTTCCAAAGTCTTTCTGGCTCTTTTGCTCTCATTATTGCAATTGCGCCTGGATGGTTCCGCAACCCAGACGGGTTCTCAATGTTTTCGAGAGGCCTGTCGTCCATAAATGAAGGCTATTTTGATTTATTGTAGGTGAAAAGAAACTGGATAACTGGAATGCATGCGGTGTTGCATTTAGTGTAAAGTAATGTTGTAATGTTGATTTTTCTTTAGCTCGATGACTCGTCTGGGTACCGATTATCGACTAGATGCCGGTCTCATAGCAGCCGCCATTCTGGAGTTATTGTTGGCATTGGCGACAACAAAATTCTGTACGGCACGATTTGTAGTACAGTGCGGCGTGAGATTCTTCTCAATTCCATGAAATAACAATGATACTAATGCGCTTGCACAGTGAAATGCCTGACCACAGGCAGTTATACGCTTCATGTGTCTCTGTTTGATAGTGAGAATATACTCGGGTATATGGGAGAAGTGTTGGCAAAAACCAAAAAAAGTCCTTTTCGGAGATTCGCCATAGCTATCCTTTACGCAGGCGTTGTTGAGATAATTTATTTTGCAGTCAGGGAAGTTAGGTGCGGTAGGATGCGGCACCATTAGCGGTGAGATGAATTGCGACTTCCCGGTCATATTCTAGTTAATGCTGGAGGTCGTGCGCAGAGGGGTATTATATTTTTGACTAGGAAGATGCAGTGCAATGGCGCGTTCGGCGAAGTCTGAATTATCTCCTTTGTACGGGCCTGTTCGTCAGGAAAACGCCCAAGGACCGCTGCATTGCATGGTTGGAAACCGCGCCTTTGTTGCCTGCAGCGTCGTGGGGCGCCTCCATGTGCGATGTTCGGCGGCACGATGATTGAAATGGTGACGGATCGGAGGCGGACGGGTTGTCAGTTTTTCCTGACTGCTTTTCGTGCGCACCCGGTCGGCCGCAGTCTCAAGTACTTGAATGAACAAAACAGTTGCAGAAAATCGGCAAAATGGGTTGAACAGAGGTCGTTCCCTAAATGGCCATCAACTCGCTGGCGTGAAGGCTGAAGTTTGGAAATGTCCCTACACAGGTGAACCTGTCCGATGCTCACAACAAAGGTTTAGTAAAGGCAAAGTCCGCAATCATTCGTGATCACAGCTAGTGGATTAGGGGTTTGCCTATAAACGACATGGTTGTAGGTAATTGAAGTGACGAAAAAAAAGCAGGAAAAAGCATGCCAACAGCCCTAGATGGAACATCATTTCCATCTAACACTACACCCTCATCCGCACAGCTGATTCCCGATAAGAACTCTACGACCGTACAAGTGACGATTTTCATGCTTTTTCGTCCTGCAGCTTCGTTTTTCACTGAAAGGCGGCCTTGAAGGCGGAGTCTGGAGGCGGAGTCACTGGAGAAAAGGAGGCGTCACTGAACCTATATTGCGCTATAGCGCCCCTCCCTTACAATTTTTTGCCGCGAAACCGGTACAAGGTTGTTCGTCGCGGACCACACTACCCTCCCGACGCCATATTTTCAACTTCTATACCTGATCGTGGACCGTACCTTTAAAGGTTTTCTCTGAAGAGTATATGACAGACAACCATAATGTGTCGCGCTGGTGGACGTAGCGGGCGATGCGACGCTTGCATCGCCGCATCCTGCGTCGCGCACGACGCGGCAAATTACGATAGTTCTGTCTGTCCCACTGAAAATCACCATACACTTACGTATTTGGCAGCCATTCATCCAAGCAAAATGCGTGTGAAATTGTGAGAGTTGAGTCAACCATTTCTAGGGTCCTTCAGTCGAAATGGTCCCATTGAATGGCGATACGACATCGATGTCACGAGGTCCATAATCCGCTTGCCCAGTGACTTTCATCTCAGGATGGATCGAGGCTTGTCAATAATACGCTCATATATGTGTTTTTTAAGTTTATTGACCTGTTTGAATGTTTTCTTCCAATAACATAATAAGTGTATTTTCATTTCACACAGGGTCCTAGCTTTGAGCAGGCACCATGTACATGCCCTTTCCCTCTGCATCTCATAGGTTTTTTTATGTCATTTTTCCGATGTTTCTCACCGCTTACCCGGTGTGCCCTCGTCATAGAAAGAAAGCAATTGGTTTTTTTCTTGAGAAAGAACATATAAAGAAATTTGTTGACCAAACTTTATTGAGTAACCTACAGTCGTAGCTAGAACAGTTGAGGTATCTGAATAACGCGATTGGTGGCCGTTTGGGTTCCACCAGTCGTAGATGCCTCGAACGCTACCAGCCATGATTACAGCGGCTATAGGTACGTTTCGTTGAAGTCTTTCCGCTTCTATTTTTGTAATCGTTTTCCGCCTGTATTTTCAATGTCGAGGTGCTTCATGCAGATGGGATTACTCACCCCAACGGTTTTTCCTCTTTAGTAATGTCGGGATAGGAAATGTGCTCGTTTCATTTTAATGATGTGTTTTCTCTCCCGTTGTATTTCCTTTTACTCGATATCGTGTTTTTGGCATGCGAACTTGTACAGGTACGGCTATTTGATGCCGCAACATCGATCTATCTTCTTTTGTTCAGAAAGAGATTATTTCATTGTCGTCTCAGTTGTAGACATTTACTTGCAATAAAGTCCAATTCTGTTATTCTCTAAGATGACTTTTTTCATAGATGGTAAGGTTTATTAAAAGCTACTTTTTGGAAGTTACGAGTTAGTCGGATACGATGTCGACAAGCACGTTCCTGCTGAACATTCTTGCGTATAGGAAGTAACGGCAAGAGGATGACCATCGATGCTGTACTTACAAGCATTACTTCCAGGATGTATAAGAGCACAGACAGTGAACAGGGAGAAGTCGAATGCTGCAAGTAATTGTTTTGACATAGTGCTAAGCTGGCCCGAAAAAGTAATGGGCTTTGATCTTGTCAAGCGCCATGTTTCAGAGCAGTTGCCTGTTGACAGTAACAGTAGCGACACTCGTTTCTACAGCCTTGTTTGCTGCGGACAATGGGGCGTGTTAAGGACGGATGGATTTGGCGCGGCGCCAGCCTGTTTTTTTTTTTTCTTCTTTCTCCAAGCGACAAACCGCATCGTATCGTTCGCATCAATCGTTCCAGCCAGCTGTTGTCGCTCACCCTTTTCAACAAGTCAAGAGAACGAGCTGGCAGCGCACCAAACTCATTCCTTCCTGACACGCCCATTCATGCGCAGCGGACAAGCTGTCGCTTTCGCTTTTGCATAATGGAAATATACTCAGTTGCTGGCCGTCTGTACCTTCGCGGTCTAGTACATTTTCCTCCACTTTGGCTCGATTATGGGAACTACCAAGGCTAAACTGAAAGGGCAGCGCTCCACATCTGACACAAGAAGGGGCGTGGCCGCGAGAGCGGCGGGCTCTAAAGAGACTGGAAGGCAGAGACGTATAAGAGACGAGAGTAGACACGGAACATGACAACGTCACCGGAACGCCCTTTTTCGCATTCCTCTGTGGACGGCCATATTCCCAGTACCTTGAAATCGGCCGCTGGTACCAGCATTAGAAGGCGAATAGTACTATTGCCTGGTACTGGCTGTTTCCATGTGCGAGGTGAGTTGGTCCGCGACTGCAGTAGCGTGTCAGTTTCTCCGCTCAAATGTGCACGGGAACGGGTTGAGGTTGGTGCTACCTGGATGACGTTTCCACCCTCTGCCCGCGCTGCCTCACGGCCTGCCCTTTTCGCCTAACCATGGCCAGATACGCTATTTTCCTGCCCCCTCTCACTCTTGTTGCTCTCTACCCGCTGCGGCTTTTTGTTATCGGCTACCGTACTACGTGCGCGCTAGTCTTCCAGTACTCATTTTCAAGTCGAAATCACCCTGACCTCGAAGTTTTTCTTACATCAACATTCACTCTACACGAGCAAGAGGAGAAGGAGGAGCTGAAGTCTTGTTCGCTGCGGACAGTGGGGCGTGTCAGAGGGTTTGGGGCACGCCGGCCAGTTTCCGCTAATTCCGGAGGCTTGCAGGCGACCTCAATTGGTGGTATATTAGATGGCGCAGGCAGCACCAATTCCAACCCCTCTGCCACGCTCTAGCGTCTGCAGCGAACAAGACAGTACTCAAGCGCTGATAAGAATTCTCCATGAGAGCAGTATACGTGTTCCATCTTACGTCTGCCTGAGTAGGCCGGAAACCTATCGCCGAGTTTCTTAACAGCGTTCCAGATAAGTTAGTAAATTCCACACGCCAAGAGAACAGTACTAGGTGAAGTAACGAACGGTTGTGTGGAATCCTTGGTCAACTGAATCAACTGCCGCTATCGCGATTGCCGCATAGAATCGCTCTATTAGGCTTCGTGGGACTTGATCATATAGTAACTGCGAAAGCTACTGACTAACCTGGTGAGGTGCCTATGAGGAACCCGCCCTCCTTCTTGAGTTCGCTCTCCCAAGTGTATTGGAATGTGCCGGTGAGGTTCTAAAACTACTAAGATGAACGTATTAAAGGCAAATTTCGATTAAAAAAAAGCGACAGACTGGAGAATTCGTGACACTTGACAAATAAACGTACGGTCGCGCAGCGGCTACTCTTATATGTTGGGAGCCGGCACTATTGAACTATTCCTACCACCAAAAACTCGAAGGAATTTTTTTCGCTGAAACTCTGCCTACAGATGTTATTTAATGCCCTAATAACGAGTATGACATTCGTTTCTGGCGCTGACGCCATCTGGCACGAGTGGGCGATAATACGACGCCACCACGTTTCTCACGAAGTTTGGTGGAAACTTGTATACGGGAGTCAATTGATATCCTGATCACGAAAATGGAATTTATTTTTGACGCTGGCGCCACTAGGTGCCATTATGGCGCCACACCTTTTTCCCCAAAATAGATAAAAACTTGCGTA